TGTGATATGCTCCTAACGTTCAGTTAAATATGCATGCGACAAATAAATGGAGCTTGGCCGGCCCTCATTTGACTCACTAAACAATAAGCAGTATAGGTGACAGGTGGCACGTCTTTCTTTTATCTTTTTGCTCTTTCTCCCAACTTCCGAGGTCTCCAGCTGTCTTTATGATGAAACTTTTTTCTGATTTTGAATAGTTAATCTTTAATGAATATTTTGCTCTTTGAACGTGATGAACGTCAGAAAAGCCTCCTCCTCACAGCTCACCAGCCGAACACAATTGGTTAATGCCAGCTATCTCGCTTTCCACATGGTCTGGTGCAGTTGCGTCAAAGGCAGAGTGCACGTCAGACTGAAGATCGTAGCTAACAACTTATGATTCTTACGCGGAAATCAATTCACTTTAATGCGACGGGGGTCTTATAACTCTATTGCAAGCGCTTTATTGAAGTAATCCCATTACTTAACTACGAGAGAATTGTGCCAAAATTTTAAGAACAACTTAAACCTAAAATTTGAAACTTGCAAAAATACGGCGCTTTGAAATACACATAAACTTTCTTGCCATGTTCGAGCAATTAAATTCTTTCCATTCTGCTTACCTTGCAACGTCAAGGAGCATTTGACCGGACGAAGTTATTCCTTCATGTCCACCTGTAATCATCATATGTTTTGTAAGTTCCATTCGATTTTGTCTGTCGATTTCCGCATTCTGTTCCGCGATGATCTCCATTGTCCTCCTGGAAGGAAAACCTCAAATCCGACCGAAACTAGACGAAAAATGAGATCAACCTTAATGCTGCATTTTTTCCTCCAGTTGCCCCCGTCACAAGCCATGCTTCGGATGACATGTTAGGCCTGCATTATTATTTTGACATGGTAAAAGGATTTTTTGCTACTTGACTCACCTTAACGAGGATGTCCAGTAAGCTAGGAATATCATAAGAGGTATAGAGAATATGACAATTGGTATAATAGCAATATTCATAAATTCAGTCATAGAGTCAAATCTGGGGTACTTCTCGTAACTGATTATTGACCAACCAAGACGATTTGATATCTCCGTGAGATGCTTGGAGATTATGTCTCAAAAATAAATTGTTTAGATTCCGGAGCATGGAGAGGCAAATAGAACTTAATTCAGACAGTATGGATTATCACCAAAGATTTTGAAATT